GCACGTTATAACTTCAAGAGAGGCCAATTGTATAGAAAATCCTTCCAAGGCCACCTGGCCCGATGATTAGGAGCGTCAAAAACTAATTATGTCATGAGAGAAGTCCACGAAGAGATATGTAGCAATAACTCGGGCGCAGATTCTTTGGTGCTGAAGTTGGTACGGGCAGGATATTACCGTCCTCGCATGGACCAAGACGCCAAAGACTTCGTACGAAAATGTGATAAGTGCCAATGCTTTGCACCACTAGTACATCAACCGACAAAACCTTTACAATCGGTTCGGTCCCTATAGTCGTTCATGAAATGGGGGATGGACATCATCGAACCACTGCCACCGGCTCCCGAAAAGGTAAGGTTTCTTTTAATTTTGACTGACTATTTTTCTAAATGGGTGGAGGCAGGTCCTTTTCAGAAGATTGGAGAACGCGAAGTGGTCGATTTCCTGTGGGAAAATATAATTTGCAGGTTCGAAATACCGAAAGAGATAGCATGCAACAATGTGCCACATTTTATCGGTGCAAAATTTACAAAATTACTCAAAGATTTGAAGATAAAGAGGATCACATCTTCTCTTTATCATCCAAGCGCAAATGGTCAAGCGGAGTCAACAAACGAAGTGATTATTCAAAACCTCAAGAAAAGGTTGGAAGCAGCAAAGAGCAAATGGCCTGAAGACTTGCCCGAAGTTCTATGGGCCTACCGAACAACGTCCAAGTCGAGTACAGGAGAAACTCCTTTTTCTCTCATGTAAAATGCTGAAGCCTTAATCCCGACGGAAGTAGGTGAACCCACATTGAGATATTTTCGGGCAAATGAAGAATCGAACAACGAAGCAATGTTAATCAACTTGGAACTGCTCGAAGAACGCATGGATTTGGCGCATGTAAGAATGGTAGATCAAAAGCAGAGAATGGAGCGATATTATAATCGAAGAGCCAACTTCCGTTATTTCAAAGAAGGAGAGTTGGTTTTGAGGAAAGTAACCCAAAATACCCGGGAGCTCAACGCAGAAAAGCTAGGTCCAATATGGGAAGGTCCCTACCGGATTTCAGATATCAATGGGAAAGGTTCATATAAGTTGGAGAACTAGAATGGAGACAAGTTGCCTAGCAACTGGAACATAGCACACCTCAAAAGATATTATTGCTGATGAACGTTAATCAAGCGGAAAGTATGTGCTGCACTCTTTTTTCCTTCGTTCAGTTTTTGTCCCAGTTGGGTTTTTCTAGCAAGGTTTTTAGTGAGGCAGCGACAGAAAGCATACTACAAAAACAACAGCAATAAGACCTTTGATAGCAAGGAAAATAAACAAGCTTCCACGCGGGAACGATTAGATAATCTTTGGTTCGATACAAATTCCCACTGGGAAGACCGAACGGAGGTTACTCGACCGTTCACGAGCATAAACCACTAGAAGATTGTTAGGTATTATTTTGCTTGATAGCATGGATTCCTAAGGGGAAGTAAGGTATGTTGCCAAGTAAAGGATTACCTAGCAATTCATTAGTGGAATCTTCGAAGATACAAGACTTCCAGTGTTCCAATTCGCACTCTTCGCATTCGAACACTGGGGGGGGGGATGATATGAGGATACAACAGCAATGACCGCCACATCAACCGGGGACCGAAAATCGGGAAACTAAACGCATTATCGGGATCGGAGATTATGCAGCCAGCCCCGTAGAAACAAGTTGTACAAGATAGTCACAAGTAATGGCAATTTCTTTTCAGCATAGCAAATGCTTATATAGTTTTTGAAAATAGAAGGAATAAAATGAAATCCTTTTGTTTTTATCTTGTTTCTTGTCAGAATGATGAATAAACTGTCATTTAAAAGTTAAACAAGTACTTCAAATGTTACTGCCGTAATGAACAGGGGACGTCCTCTTCAAGAGCACCGTAAACATAAGAGGGCCCTCTCTTATAAAAACCCTCACATTAAAGGGTTGGTTCCGGAAGAATTTATGCCCGAAATCTAAAATGCCATCGGGGAAAAATACACCCGAAGTTTCACATGAAAAGGAGCAAAAAATAAACTGGCACAAATACATATAAAAACCCTCACGTAAAAGGGATAATACTCGGAACCAAAGTACTTCAAGGAAATCACATTTGAGATCACACATAGTAAAGTGCAAACGTGCAAGAACTCTTGAGCAAATGCAAAGATTGAAGACTTGCATGGATATTCAAATGAAAGTAAGACTCAAACGATACTTGAGCAAAAATATGTCTTGATTTACAAAAACGTGCCAAAATGGTAAAAGTACAAAATGGGAAAAAGAAAGGAAAAGCTAAACTGTAGCACCTCCGGAACCAGGAGGAAGAGAAGTGTCTGCATTCCCGGAAAATGTAGGTAAGTCCACAAATGGCTCAACATTTTCCCCAGTTTGGTCTTCAGCATCATCGCCTTCCAATCCCTCTTCAGTTTTCGAAAACTCAAAACCAGAACCAGAAGAACCAGGAGCATCAGGTTGTGCTGGAAGTCCATTCTTAGCAGTCAACTCAAGCCCTCGGGCCGTAGCAATTTCGGCATCAATGTCAATGATACCATCTTTGGCCTCTTCCAAAGTTTTTCTCCTCATGCTGTACATAAAATACATTTTTTCAACGATGAGGGAAGCCGTTCGGCGCTTAAGTTCTTCTTTGAGTTGGGTAACCTCGGCAGAAAGGCTTTCCCGGGCGGACCTAGCAGATTTGAGGCTAACGTAGAAGAAGTAATGAAGGAAGAAAAGAATGTACCGCAGCGGCGTTGTGCATGGCATTGTTCAACAAGCATTCTCCCGAGAGTGCCTGAATCTTTTCCTAGTCTTTTTCTGAAGCCAAAGGCTTCAGATAGTTAGCAAGCTCCACCAGCTGGGATAGCAAGTTGTATCCGGTAGAGACCGAAAGAGTAACATTCCTACTCCTTTGTGGTTCTTTAGAAGGGGCAACATAATTTTTCCCCAAATTCCCATGAACTGGGGATTGTAGAAGAGAAACACCTTCTTTATGGTCAGGTGCGGCTGATGGAGGTGATGTAGCAACTGCTGGTGGAAGAGTGGATGAAGATGGAAGTGATGTAGTAGTTGCCGGTGTTGGTGAAGATGGAGATGAATCTGATGGAGTTGAACAATGAGAAGCAGCTGCATTAAATGCAGTGCCGGTTGTTGGATGCTCGCTAACCAAAGACGGCAAAGATCCGGTACTCAGCCCCGCATCACCGGTTACAACAATTGGGGCCCGAAATCGGGAGTTGACATATTCTACCAAATCAGATTCTCCTCAAATTGTCGAGACATCGTCTTCAGTTGGTGTAATTATCTCAACAGGTCGAGCATCCTGTTGAGATGATGAGGATCATCGCCTTCTATGTAAAGAAGCTCCCTCATCAATAACTTCTTCACCATCATCAATCATCACGGTGTCTATGACCAGCCCGGAAGGAGGACCAGTCATCATCACCACCGGAGATGACTCGGGGGCATCAGTCTTTGCCCTCTTGTTCTTTTCCCCGGCCGCGGAGGAACGTATTCTCTTTGGTTGATTATCCTCTGGACGGGGACTCCGTAAAGAAGAGTTTGCGCCCGAAACAGGCCCAGAGATACCTGTTTGAGTAAGTTCTTCCTGAAGCGGCCTCGCTGCATCAACAAGATCAGCTAAAACGTCCTCCTCGAGGACAACAACAGAGCATGCAGGTACACCTAATTTCATGAACAAGTCAGAAGGGTTCAACCAAGTTGTAAATAATGGAAGCAAGGTAAATTAAAATTACCATGATTTTTGTCCTTCCACCCGTATTTAAGGGCCAGTTCTTTCCATAAATGAGTTTCAGGCGTTGTGATGTCAAAGATATTTTGAACCCACAGGTCCAAACCTTCCACCACCGGTGGGATCCATCAAATTACTAAATCGTGCAAAGGGTGAAGGGTTAATACGACCACAAAGGAATATCTAGTAAAAAGATATACAAAACAAAACACTTACGAGTGCGGTTCCAAACGGCCGGAAAGGATGAAGCCGTTGTTGGAATGATGTCATTTGTGGCAACTACAACAAACCATTCCATCCATCCACAGTCATTGTCATCATCCATGCTAGATAGCAAAGCATGGTAGCCACGCTTGCAAAGGTTTATCATTCCCTTGCGGAAGATTTTGGGAGAATAGAGATGCATCATATGAGCTAAGGTTAGCTTCTCTCCAGTTTCCTGATACAAGCATCGAAGACATGCGACCGTCCTCCACACTGAAGGACTTACCTGTGCCAAACACACTTAGTAGCGAAGGCAAAATTCCGCAATCACAGAATCAAGCTCTCCACTCAAAGAAAACGCACCCAAAGTAAAGAAATACGTGTAAAAGTATGTAAAACCTTCCTTGGGAAGGGTCACTCACTCCGATAGATCAGGAGTGATGATATCCAACTCATGGCAGCGATAGTCTTCCTTCACAGCAGGAATATTAGAAGAACGAATGGAAGACAGGTACTTACTAATAGCCCATGTACGAGGGTTAGCAGTAGGGAATTTCTCTTCAAGAGTCCTTTGTGGTACTGAATTTTCTTGGGATGATGGAGTTCACCGTTGGAGGAACAGAGTCCTCGGTTTTGTTCTTTGTAGAACCAACACGCTTAGAGGAAGAAGCCATTGAAAAAGAAGGAAAATATTTTGTGTTTGAAGAGAACTAGAGAAAGAATGGAAAATAAATATGCAAATCAGGAGCTCGAGAAATTATGAAATACAAAAGAAAAGAATGTGGCGTATAAGTAAAATGTTGGCGGTTAAATTCATGGCCATGATTAACTCGATAATCGGCAAAGGTTGTGCTGAATCATAGGATGACGCGTGTTAGAGGTATTAAATGCGGAGAGACGTGCGTCTAATAAACTGTCAGGAACTTTCAGAGGGAGTTATAGTAATTCCCGCCAAAAAGGTATTTCTACCAACTTTCTGGTCACACAAAGTTATGTCATCGGAAAGCAGGGGGACTATCTGTATAGGGTAAAATATGATATGACATGTGGACGTCTAAAGAGAGGACACGTGGAACCCAATATAGGAATGACCGAAGACCGAACGCAGCCATTCCTCTTGTCACCGGAAAGGATAAGGTTCATAAAGGTGTGTTGAATACTCTGCGCCCAATAGCATTTAATAAGGAATATTCTGCAGCATTAAGAGTGACAGTCCGTTACAGAGAATTTGGCATTTATGTTCACCTTTACGTCTTCATCAATGACCCTCATAATTGACATTAAAGGAGGACATGATCTTAGGACTTCCTTCCCTAGACATAGCTATAATTAGTGAGCTCAGTTATCATTGTAAATGTCACGAATTTTCTGGCTAAACCTACACTCTATTCTATGCAAAACTTAATACAATTTTACTTTCTTGCTTTTTGATCTCATCATCGCTGTGCCCGAAAATACTATTCCAGGAATTGTTATCTCTGCTGTTTTCATCAATATTTCAAGGCTAAATATTATACATTTTTTCAATTATTGTATTATTTCAGGACCAAATTAATTCACTTGTCTAGAGACCACGTATAAATTTAACTGTACCGTTTTACGGGTAAACATCGTTATAGTTTTAAACAAACTCGGCCATTTTGAGATGGATAAGAGAAGTTAATGTTTATAGGTAAAGTTAAGGGAGAAATTGATTTTCTACACAAAGCTAGAGAATAATAAAATTTTCATCCAGAATGAAAGGGAAGGGTGACTAGAAGTCCAGGAGATGGATATATGATTATTATTCTCTTACCAAAAGAGTGTCACCATTACTATTCAAGAGGTTAATAGTTTTTTTTTTTTCTAATGAAGATTCTTTTTACTATAAAAAGAATGTCACTATTATAAATGCAACAGCATTCATTCTCTAAATTGAGATTTAAAAAACAAAATAACATCTTTCTTTTTTCTTTTTACAAATTAGTAAAAGAAGATGGAAGTCCAATTTAAATTCTGCTTTATGACCTATTTGTAACTAGATCTGTTTAAACCACCATGATAGGATGGATAGGATGAGATCTGTTTAAAAATTAGGAGTGGCATTAAGAATATCATTAACTCCTATATATATCTTTTTGTGTACAATGTTTAGTAACAACAATTGGGCATTTGAATAAATGGCAATTAGGATGAGATCTCTCTAAGAACTAATTTTCTAGGAATGGTATGACAACTCTCATTAAACAAATGAAAGAGGGTATTTTCCATAATTCTCAAAGACAAAAATTTCACTTACAAATCAAATAGCCAAAGCACATTGCTTAAGAAGCAAAGACTACTTGAACCTATGCTAATACTATATGTATCTAATAGGGTATGTGCATTTGGGCACTCAACCAACAGTATCATCTATTGATTTAAAATTTTGCAATGGTAAGGTCGCAGTAGAATGGAAGTGCATCAACCCCTCCCGACTCTTATAACACATAAAGCAATTAGTCCTGAACTGTTTATTATTTCTCGAATAGTTACCTTTTCTATTGATATCTTCCTCATAACTTAAATAGGATAAGTAGTATGATGAGATATTGAGTCTGCTATTCCAAATCCTTAAGAGAAATTCAAATCAGGGGAAAAATACTAAGATGAGAAACCAAAAAATACTATGAAACTAAGAAAAAAATCAAAAATTAAACCACCAAGAAAGCCACCATGAGAGCTACAGTATGTTATGACAAAGAACATGAACCAACACTAGGCAAAGTTTCTTTCATATTTATGGAAGTCTGAGTCTTTACTCTAAGTCTAAAGCACATCTCCTAAGGATAATACAGTAATCTCCCATATTTGTCTAGCAAAATCACATCCAGTTCCATATACATCCTGGCTCCCATTTAGTAAAAGTATAACTGAAATTTGATTCACAGTTAATGCATTAAGCTAAGTTGCGAGAATCTGCCGGTGGCTTTAAAACCATTATAGAAGGGAATACGCTGGCGTTATCTCGATGCAATTCAGATGACTCTCATAACATAATCTCTCATTATAAAGATAAATGCAGATTAGCTGCTATAATTACTAAGAAATCAAATAGAGATGAGGCTTAGTTATTTAAGGATCATATCCGAATAGCTGTATCATTCGACAAAAGTAAGAAAAATAATAAGCGGAGAGAAATTTAGAGGGATTGAACCGTTATCTATGTCCAAGTACCAAAATAACAAGAATTATTGTATACTGCAGTTGTTTGTGAATAAAGCTGAATTATACAACGTTCAGGTCATTGTTCACATTCAAATAAGCATCGATAGATTTATCAAAAAATAATGAGAGTAACAATAACAAATTTTTCAGTTTATAGTTTAATTCTTGACAATAAGTATTGCACTTAAGAACTTCTGAAAACTTGGTATAAGATTCTTGATTAGAAGTTTGCACATAATACATGAAGAAACATAAAGGGGCAATATAGTTTTGGGGCTTGCTTTTTTCAAAAACACAAAAAACGATGAACCACATCTTTTCCCTTGTCAATAAAATCCAATGAGGGAAAAACATCGACGCTAAGTAACTACTACATGAATTTTTTTTTTAAATGAACTTAAGGATACGCCAGCTGGCCAGACAGGATTATTTAAAAAATAATCTAGTAATATACATAGAGATCACACATGCATTACTATTGTGTATATATATGATATATGAGGAAAGAAGGAAATAACAGATTCAATATTCTAACCTGTTTCTCAAATAGAACAGGAGGTTGTAATAGCAAGACTACCCTGCAATTGAGATGCAAATGACATGATTTATGTTTGGAAGAAGACGATTACGTGTTATCTCTCGATTTTTGAGGCATTGTTGCAGGCAAAATTGCTCCTTTCTCAGGCATTGTCATATGATAATAGATCTCCCGGCTTTTGGCATCCTTATCAAGGGCTTCCTTCACCGTGCGAGGCCTTTTTGTTTGGGATGATCTATTTTAAGTGTCAATACTAAGATCATTCTAAAAACCTGTAACATTATGATTATTCTATTTCATCAGACAACCATTTACTACAAATAAAGAAAGAAAATAAAAAGATACCACTTAATATAGATAAATAGCAGTAAGGTATAAAGAATAAACTTTTAACACTTAACTACTTGGGAAGTTACTTTCACTCTAGACGGACAATAGATAAATGCATTAGATCAAGGTGATAGTTGTGGAAAGACACTATCTAGACCATGTAGATTCAAGATGTCACTCATGATTAGGTGATGGTTGGAGTTAAGATGTTGATCAGCTTCTCGTCTTCTCATTCTTTTCCTATTTTTATTTTATTTTGTTTAATAGCTCTTCTGCACTTTGGCTTTGAATCAGTGAAAGCACTTCTATTATTGCTGCCACATTTACTACTTCCTAATTTGTTATTCAGGAGAATGGTATAAAGTGTAGATCATGAGAGGTACTTCCTAACATGACCAATAATTCAGAAGGGAAAAAAAGTGGTTAACATTTGCGAGTAATGACATACATGGCCTAAATGGTTAATCAACATTGAGTCGTGTATTCACTGTTTTTGTCTGTTATAATTTTATTTATAATATATAGGAGTAGTAGACAGAAAATTACTCTGTTAAACTAAATATGTGATAAAGTTTATTCAATCACATCATCCTTTCACGAAACTAAATATGGGATAAAATTTAATCAACATCATCTCTTCACTAAGGAGTAAAGAACACTTAGATAATAGAGTGCACACAAGAATATGAGATAGAATATATATCATCACAATGCTGCTGCAAAAAAGTCTTTTTTCTGATCATCAACGATGTTGCTGCTATATTAAATGCATAAGTCGCTCTCTAATCACACAAAAAGAGTAGAGCAGGAAATCATAATAGAACAGAACAAATATACTAACACTGATATTGCAACACTTCTGTATAATTGAAAGAAACTAAGATTTAACAGGAATTTTTACCACTATGCAATACAAATAGCCGAGGCTACAATAATAATCTAATGCCATCTTCAACCCTTACCTCCATTTTCTCCTCCAAAATGCAGTAAAATTATCCAACCATTACTTCATTTTTTACTCCAAAAAAGAATATTCTATTTTAGATTCTTTTCTCTCTTCAATATTATATTATTATCTTTATTTTCTTATTTCTATTAAAGAAAATCTTATCTTTTTTTCTTTTTTACATACTCATCACATATAATTTAATATAAAATTATTTTATACCATAAATTTTTAAATAATATAATTTGTAAGCAAATATGATAGATTATATATATTAAAGAATAATTCAAATAAAAGTGAAATCATTGAGATACAAGATAATTCAATACATATTACATTATAGTAAAATAAAATATAAATATTAGCAACATCTAATATTTTATATTTGCACCATTCATTTTTTGAGATGATTATATATTTTTTGTATAATTATAACTTATAATAAAATTAACTTACAATTTTAGATAAAAATAATAAATGCACGAAAATTAATTTATCAAAATTATACGCCAAAGTTAAGATGTAAAATTAATATTATAAAGATATTACATAAACATAATTAGGTATATATAAAGAGATAAATTAAAAGAGTTAAATAATAAAAATAATAATAAAATAATCATGAATAGTAATGGAGGAGATAAATAGTGTTACCCCATATTTGGAGTAACACTATTCATCCCCCATTTCGGAGGCAAAAATGGGGTAGCATTGGAGCTCCATTATGGCAAAAATTGCCCCCCATTATGGAGAAATGGGGAGGGTTGAAGATGCTCTAATATAGTCGCTAAACTATAATCAACATTTAAAGATATTGTTAATGAAGTTCGTTATCATTATTAAACATATAATTAAAACGACATTCTTGTTCTCCATATAAAACACATTCTTAGTTTCTCAAACTTTTTCACACTGTTATGTTCCTTCAAATTTTGCACGCCCTTTTGTTCCTTTTCCGTACCATCTCCCATCGAGGGAAAAAATTGTGTCCTTGAGTGAAGGTGTAATTGTACATTTAGATTATACAATTGAACGATCTTCCCATTTTTTTTTAAAAAAAATCATGTCCTTGTTAATATTTACTATGAGAATTACCAACCTGTTGAGATAACACCATTTCCTAAAGGCGTGGGGGCGGGCAATGTCTCCCTAAACACTTCATGCGCGTCGAATAAGCATCTCATGTTTGGTTCTTTTAAGGACATTTTATCCGGTTCTACAGTAATATGATGGTAGCAGCGGAGTGATTTAAAGATGGAGTCGAATAAAAAACCAAAATGCATATAAGTGGAGGCAAAGTGAAAAAGACAATGAGGGAAGAACATAGAGGTTAACATGTGAAATAAGAAAAGTAGATTGAAAAACATAGAGCAGGAACAATAAAGAAAATAGAATAAAGAGAAAGTGTAGGAAGAAACACATTTGTAGAAACTACATTTTGAAACTGCTGGTTTTTTAATTGGTGTTTTTGACGACTGTTGTTTTTTCCTGGCCAGAATGAAAGGAAAAGGCAAAATTTTTGATAAAAGATAAATGCAATTCCTGAATAAAGAGGCTTGCCACGTCACCGGCTCCTGTTCCGGTATTATATATAAATAAATATATATATAAATATGTCAAGGTAATAATTAGTTAAGATTAATTTAGTAAATAATTTTTTTTTCTACGAGAGTTTGTATTTTTATTTTTTTTCTATGAGAGTTTGTATTTTTTAAATAGATGTCAAATGTAAAATGAACACTTTAAGTAAACGGGAGAGAGTACATTACCAAACACCCGTTGGGAAATTAAAAGAAGAAACCTAGAATTTTTTGTCCTGTAACTAGATTTGTTGAATCACAAAGACATTGTGCCTCCTTCCCCCAACCAATCCTCGCTTCCACCTCCGCGCTTTTCTTGCTGTAACGTTGTATTACGCTCCTTCCCCAAAACCCCTCAATTTCCTCCACCTTTCTCTACCCCATTCTGCAGTCAATACTAACCACAAGATTCATACAATCTAACCCATATTAAACTTTTTGTCCCTTTCTACTAGGACTCGTTCCCCTTCTTTTTTCCCCATATATTTCTTATTTTTCTCTTTTAACTTTCCTATATATATATACTCCGTCTCATGCTTTCTTGGTTCTCCTCACTTCACATCTTCTAGCCCTAAATCTCCTCTTATCTCTCCTACCCATTAACCCCCTCCTCCTCAAGACCCANCATATAAAGCTGTAGAATTTGTTGAGTCAGGTATGGTTGTGGGTCTTGGTACAGGTTCCACAGCTAAACATGCTGTGGCTAGAATAGGTGAATTATTAAAGCTAGGGAAATTAAAGAACATTGTAGGAATACCCACATCAACAATTACCCATGAACAAGCTGTTTCGTTGGGAATACCTTTGTCTGATTTAAATACACATTCAATTCTTGATTTGGCAATTGATGGTGCTGATGAAGTTGACCGAGAAATGAATTTGGTTAAAGGGAGAGGAGGGTCATTGCTTAGGGAGAAAATGGTAGAGGCTGCTTGTAAGAAATTTATAGTTATTGTTGATGAGTCAAAGTTGGTGAGTCATTTGGGTGGAAGTGGTCTTGCTATGCCTGTTGAGATTGTGCCCTTTTGTTGGGAATTTACTTTAAAAAGATTGGAGATGTTGTTTATTGAAGCTGGTTGTGTTGGGAAGCTGAGGAGGACAGTTGGGGGTGTGCCATATGTTACTGATAATGGGAATTATATTATTGACTTGTATTTCAAGAGTGATATGGGTGATTTAAAAGCTGCAAGTGATGCAATTTTGAGGCTTGCTGGTGTGGTTGAGCATGGCATGTTTCTTGATATGGCGACGACCGTGATTGTGGCTGGAAAACTTGGTGTCTCAGTTACTAATAAGTAGGATTATATGTTCTTTTAGGAACCTTAGTTTTCTAATTTTTAGATATTAGGTTATGTTGGGGGTCTTGATATTTGTACCAATCCAATTGAGAAGGTCTTGCTGAACTATTTATGTAGCAAGGACAATTTAGGTGGTGCATTTGCAACAACTTAGATATTGAATTATTTGGGGGTATTTGCCTCTAATTTTACTATCTTTGAGTTGGTGACATTTGTTAAAGAATGGAAAGTTTCATGCTATTCACTACTTATTGCCTCAAATTGTTAAAGAATGGGGGTATTTGCCTCAAAAATTTTCATGACTTGCATTTGCTTGAGTATGCTTACAGTTTTGAGGTTCATCAAGTTCTGTCGCTACTTGCTGTTTCATTGAACATATGTTTGATAGTATTAGATTTGACGCTCTACTTTTATGATGTTAAAAATATTACTCTGCCTATAATCTTCAAAGTTCAACACAGTCACTCTAGTCTTGTCGGATGGTAGTTGCTTTAGATAATCAATCACATGAGTGCTGCTAAGATAAACTGAGGTGTCGGACTTTCTGTTAACATAAGGTTTCATAATGAATTGTCTACTGCCATTTTGTGCAAGTCGCGTTCTCTTTCAAGCAATTATAAGGGCAATGACATTGATAAAGGACTCAATGGCTTATAGCTGCATTGTGGAAAAAGCCCAAGGTCTAAGAGTATAGATTGTTTTAAAAACTTAACAGCTAACTGTGCAACTAAAAATAAGAATGCTGATATGCAGCTCCATGTGTAATTGTACTAGAAGTTTGATTGTTTTGATAGTTAGTTTGTTTGTCATGCTGCATTTTGTATGTTGCTTCCTAGCGGTGCTTTTGAGCTCTGTATTTCAGGATATCAGATACTTGGCATTTTCCGGTGGAACGTTACTTATGCCTGGTTCTAAAAGTTGTTCTCTGCTATTTCTGTGTCGTGTTTATCGCACTTATATGGGGAGAGGAAGATTTAGCTCAATAGGAGGATGCATGGAAAAGGAACTTTTATTGGATGTAAAGCAGTGCTTACTGCCGGAGCATCAACTCTGCAGAAGGAAGGTGATGTATATTCTGGTGTTAAAACTTAGTAGGATACTCATTCATATTTGGCTATTGGACTGTAACTGAATTTTACTTTGCTGGACCGTAGTTTCCTCTCCTTTTTATGTGATTCTGTTTTCTGCGCGTGTGCACATCCCATGAAAAGGTTACAAATGACCGAAAATTGCAATTGGATCAGGTATCTTTTCACCTATTGTTCCCTTTCCTTGAGATATAATTGAAGAAGGAACTCCATGTCGGCTGTACTTTGTTTTAGGGCCATAATCCAATTCCCTTGGAATGAGCAAACATAAACTTTAACTTAATATCATGAATATCCTTCAATTGAGAATGTCCTCGTGCTTAGGCTTGAAGGATATCCTTTTTCAAGCATCATCATTCATGACAAATTCCCTTACGATTATTTAGAGAAGATGCTGAATTTTGTGCTTTTTAGCTTCATGCGTTTTACTTGAGAATTATTAGAAGGTTACTTCATCAAAAATTCATTTATATAATTCTGGTATCTGAAACCAAGAGTATCGCTCTTAATTCCAAGTAGAGGCTGTTATTGTGCTAGCGCGCTACAAAAGCAGGGGAGCAATGAGGTGAAAGAGAACCTAACTGATGAAACAGGACAATATTCTGCATAGGTTACGATGAGGGTGTAATAAAGCTGCCTACATGGCAATCTTTAGAAAGATCGTACAGAACATGAGAACAAAATGATGAATGAGAGAAGGTATTGTTGAATCTTCTATGAGAATCAATTGCTTCCTTGTGGCCCTAGTGTCACGAGCCAAAACCCTACCACACCTCCACAGGCGTCGTGATGGCACCTAGTCTCTAAGACTAGGTAAGCCGATTTCTTTTACATTTTGAAGCCATTTTTTTTGAATTAAAATCTAACAGCGGAAATAATTACAATACACAACCTCCCAAGACTGGTAGTACTGAATCACGAACTCTAACTGAATACATGGAATGATCACGAGGACCGAATATACAATACTGTATGATTACAAATTAATAGTACAATGAAATGAAAAGACTCCAAGGGACTGCGACGGCCAAGCAACTCTACCTTGAATCCTTATGATCATGCTTTAACTCTGCTCAAGTCAGTATCAAGACTAACCTTAATGGAGTAGAGACGAGGTACAGTCAAGACATTCATTGGTCTAATAACATGTGCAATATAATATACAAAATAATAGGAAACAAATAACAATAGGACAACATGGAACAACCAGTGATATGCACAGTAGACAACAAGAATACCATTAATATCACTCAATAATTAATAAACACAAGTACACCCAATTAAATCAAGTCCTTCAAATAAATGTCATTCACATATAATTCTTCCAGATAGCTCTTTCTTTCAAATATAATTTTCTCAAATAATTATTTTACAAATATAATTCTTTCAATAAATCTTTTCAAATATAATTTCCTCAAATAAATATCTTTCAAATAAAATTCTTTCATATAATACTTTCTAAGTAAAAATCCTTCCAAATAAATATTTTGAATATAATTCTTTCAATTAAAAAGTCACCATGTGA